TGCGGGCGCCCCCCGCCGCAGCGGATCGTCTCCGAGGCTCCGCCGCACCAGCAGAGCCGCGGCCAGCGCCCATTCCCACCGGGAAGCAGCCCGGAAAAGGGGGCCCCATCCTTCCCCGCCACCCCTTGCATCCGGGAACAGCATCCCGCTGGATGCGGCCCGCGTGGCCCCGCTGGAGCTGCTCTCCCCTTGGAGCAAAGCCAAATGCCCAAGGAGAGGGATTTTTTTCCAGCCTTTTTCCAACACTTTATTCCTTCAAGAGGTGAACAGATTTTTTTTTTCTATTTTTAAATGAATTCAAACACAACAACCTTGTCACAAGAAGGGGGACGCCGTGTGCATTCCTCCTCCTTCACCAGCTGGACTTGCTCGAGCAGGGGCAGGGGGGACACGCGCAGGGGCAGGCCCCGCTTTTTTCCCTCTGTTGCTGCCATGGACGTGAGCAGGGTACAAAGAGGGCTTGGGAGAGCCGGGAAAACCAGGAGCGGGAGCGGAGAGCGGGAGGAGGAGCTCGGTTTCAGTGGGGGTTTTTGCCGTTTCCATCTCTTGCAAAGTGCAAACGCCTCTGTGGCCTTCGGAGATGCTCCTGCCGCCCTCCCGGGGCTCTGCTCTCGGCGCCCCGGTACCGGCTCCCGGTAAACCCTGTTTAGCACCACGGGAAGGAGCCGCAGGCAGCTCAGGACGTCACTGCTGTGATGAGTTCGTCGTCCCCAGCAAGGGGGCTTGGCCTGGCAGCCCTGGGTCTAGACAGGCGCAAGGGACGGAGCCGAGCGGCCACCGTGTCCCTGCTCCCGGCGAGGCCCCCAGGCAGGCACAGCCCCATCCTGGACAGGGCAGGGGACACCGGGCACCTCGAGGGGGCTCAATCCCCCTCCCCAGGCTCCCCTCCTTGCCCGAGCAGGGGCAGATGTGACGGGAGAAGCAGCAGCTCCTCTTTCTGCACCGGTCTTGCACAGGGCTGGTCGCAGCCTCCCGAGGAACCTGACGGTCCCGTGAGTGACACGTGGAGCTCGGGACTCGCCACGCGCGTTGCGAGGCCACCACGGAAGCTGCAGAGAAGTCTGGCACCTCGTGCTCTGCAGGGGATGGGCTGCGGAGTTATTCCAGCCTCCCGTCTTCCAGGGGCAGCAGGAGATTTCTCTTCCATGCAACGCTGCACCGAGGGCTTCTACTCCCATCGCGGCTCCTCCTCCCCAGCTGACACTCTGCCAGTCAAAACTCAAAGACGAGGCTGGCGAGACGCAGGGTCAGCACCAATCCGAGCCTGGAATCTCTTCAGAACATCCCAGTGCCAAACGTGCCACGAGCAACCGAAAACAGGTGCCTCCCTCGTGCTGTTAAATAACTGCAGGCGACGGCGCGGTGCAGCCGTGGCGGAGATGGGGTGAATGCAGGGGCTGGGGGTTAAATGCAGGGTGCCAGGCAGCAGGATGGGGGTCCTACCTCGGCGGGCAGCAGCGCGGATGGGCACTGGGTGAGCACTGCCCATGCTGCAGATCTGCACGCGGGTCAGCAGCTTTTCTGTAACGCAACAACCGGGTTCGAAAGCGGAAAGGTAGTGTCGGTCCATCCAGGTCACACCGCACCGGCTGCCGGCGGAGCGGCCAGGACGGCAGGGAGGAGAGCGGGAGGCTGCAGGGTCCCAGGGCGACCTGCAGCCCCACGCTTAAATCCAAGGAAAAGACAGAAAGGGAGGGCGGGGAAGGAAGGAGAGGAGGCTCCGTGGGCCTCCCGTTTCACTGGAGCAAAGCCCTGGGGCTCCAGCCCACTGTCTGTGGGGGGTGACGGGCTCTAGTTCTACTTGTGGCTGTTGTAAGCCTTGTGCCTCTGGTTCATGGGGTTCTCTGGGGACTTCATCCACTCCTTCTTGAGGAGCTGCTTGAGCTGGGACAGGCGCATGTTGGGGTTCTCTTGCTTCAGGCGGGGCAGATTGACCTCTTCAAAGGCGGTGAAGGCAGCTTTCATCCGGCGCTCCGGGTGCCGGTCCAGGTCATTGGCAACGCTGTCGGAAAACGGACACGCATCAGGCACCTCCCTGCAGCACCAGCCCCTCGCCCAGCTCTGATCCCCTGTCAGCGCCGCAGAGTGAAGGCAGAACAACTCGCTTGTGAGCAGAAAGCCCCACAAAACTTTCCTGACCACTTCCAATACCCACTACAGAAGATCAGAGCTTATCTCAAGGGCAGAAGGCAGCAGAGACGTCTTGTTCTTGCTGCTGAGATGGAAATTTGCAGTCAAAGGGCAAAACAGAAGTTTGGCCAGCCGGGAAAGGATTCTAGTTTTGGGGAACAGCTGCAAAACTTCTCACAAGGAAAACCACCCCTTCAAAGGGGAGCACCAAAGTGACACAGCCACGTACCTGAGGACAGCAATGGCATCTTCAATCGTCCTGGCCTCCACTGTTCCTTCCTCCAACACCCTTCTGTTGATGTTCTCTTCCAAGGGAACCTCCAAGTGGGTCTTCTCCTTTTCCACTGCACAAAAAAAGAAAACCCCTCAGAAAAGGCAGCCTTTGCCTAACCTCTGGCTGACAAGCACTTTGGAGAAAGCATTGGCAAGACTCAATCTACAGCCCCACTTAGCTACAGTTTTGGAAATTAAAGCACCTGTTTTGCAGCCCCCCCAAAGGAGGCAGGTTTCTTTTTCCTCATTTTGATGTGGGGGGTTAGACACAGACACAGCAAAGCCCGTGGCCTTCAGTGACTGCACATTGGGAAGGATCAGTCCCCTCTTCCTTTCCCCAGCCCCTCTTGCACAGCGCAAAGGAAGGGCTGCACCAAACCTGTGTCTGCATTCTCGTTCTGCTGCTGGTCTTTCCTGATGGTCTCCTCGATCTGGGCCCTGGTGACTTTGCCCGGAGTGACCTGCTTGGGCGACTTCCCCTTCAGCTTGGAGTCCTCCTCCTCCAGCAGACGCTGCAGCTCCTTCTTGCGCTCCAGCTGCTCCAGCCGCCGCTTCTCCCTTTCCTCCTAGAAGGGTGGAAGAACCAAGTCACCTCCAGCCTGCTGCAGCACAGGGATCAAACTATCCCTTACAAGAGCAGGAAAGAGATGCTTGAGGAGAAACAACTGCTTCATTCCCATGGCTAACGGAGCATGGACCTTGTCTTACACGAAAGAAAGTTTGGCCAGTTCCTCCCTGGATGTTAGTTTGGCCAGTTCCTCCCTAGATGTTCAGCAATGATAAATTGGCGTGGCTCTTCTGAATAATTCTCCATTCCTTGTCCCATCTACAACCTCGCTGGCTCCCCGCAAGGTCGCTGCGAAACACAACCCGCTGTCCAAGGAGCAGCCGGGACTGCTGACAACCGGGGCGAGTTTTCCACTTTGATTCCAGTGAGTGGCTGCAGGTTAAAAGTTCAGCAGCTGTTTGAGACAAACCAGCCTAGAAGCTGAACCCGTTTCCCAGGTCTTGCTGAACTGAAGCACCTCCCGGAGCACTTTCAATCTAACATGGGGTTTGAGAGCCACTTTGTCCTCTATGCCTTGGCCAGAGGCCACCAGGAAACAGGCTCTTAGGGGCTTTCAGCACTTTGGCTTCAAGATTTATTTCCCCTCCTTTCCTAAAGTTCCTAAGCTCTGGAAAAAGAATAACAAATAGAAGAAGGAACTCCAGATAAGCATCTTTTTGTCTAGGTCAGTGTCACAGGCCACAGAGCGCCTCATATTTAGGTTAGTTACACGGGCACACTTAATTATGGGTCTCTTCTATTATTCACAAGGTTGGCACAACTAACCCACAGGGCTCGGACAGGACGGGGTCAGCTCGAGAGCAGCCGTGCAGCAAAACAAGGGCAGCAGGAACGCAAGCGCTGTGGCCAGCAAGGAGGCCAGGGCACGGCCTGCTGCAGAGGCTCTAAATAAGGCAGGGCTTGAGATGTAATTAAAAAATGCAAGTTGCTCCATTTGCAAGGAGAACTCATCAAAACAGAGCATCTAAGCTCACGAAGGTGGAATTGAACAAGCCCTAGGGCTGTGGCTCCCATCCACGGGAAGGGCTAGGCCTGGCTTTCAGTCCACATTAAGAAGGGGAAGATTCTCCTGCCTCTGCTTCCGAGCAGCTGCCATCAAGGATGGGGAAAATAAAAGCCATTACAGGGAGGAAGTTTTTATTAATACCATTGGCAGGCTCCAAATTCTTGGTCATTAAGTGCTTAGTGCTCTGCCTTGAGATGTAAGGCCAGGGTAATTGGACTGTGAATTACATCAAAGGGCCAACTCATTTACTTAAGACGCAGCCTTTTTCCTTGCCCACTGCCTTCCTGTTGGGCCTCTCCCTCTTTTAGTGAAGAGTAAACAAATGGACTCAGATTAACAGGGACTGCCCTCACTGCCACAAGGATACAGGGGGTAAGGGCAGCACCAGGTGCTTTCCCTGCCTCCACCTCCAACGGACG